ATCTTTCCTACCGTGTCAGGCATGCCAGTTTCAATAAGTGGTAACGTGCCAGGGTTGTGTTAACAGCTTGTTGCACTTCCCTGAAGTGAATACAGAAAAAGTCACTTGATGCTGGAGCAGTCTGTAGAAAAGTAACAGGTTTGCTTACAGAGGCACATCATCAGAGGGACGGCTGCAGTGAGACAGTCACAAACGGTGCACATTCACTGCATTTAGGGACTTGTGGAATTGTTTGTATGAGGTAGAGAGACTACTTGTACGCAAACATGAAACAGAATAGACTTGAAGCTGTGCAGGTGTTTCCACTCCGTACTGCCAAGCACTAAATCACAAATGGAAGTGCCTTTTTCAGGAGGTTTAACTGTATTCGGCTGACCCTGTTTCATTAAACTGGGTGAATTATTCATCTTCCCCCAAACATTTGTTCTTGTCAGCACTGTAAAGTCTCCATGTGTTTGAACAGCCACATTTTTCCTCAAAAACAAGGCGTTCTCAACTGCAATATACAGTTAATACCTTAATGGAAATTTATGAGCTTAGATTGGGATGATTTTCTTGACAGACGGCATCTCACAAATGAGTAGTTCAAGGACTGTCAGAAAGTTCAAAATGTGATGATATTGTATGTTGTGATAAACGGTACCATTTTGATCATTTTAATAACATGCCTTTCAAACATACTGGTGCAAATAACACAGATAATACAGCAATTGTTCACCTCCTACAACATTCCTTTTTGTAAAAAGTTCCCCCACTCTCTGTGGTTGACACTTCTGCCATTATCTTGTTTGTGAAACAGAAAGACAAGGGCAAAGCTATTGATTTATCAGTCAGTTTTTGTTTCAAGTCTTCTCTGTGGTCATGAGCTCTGGGTGTAGTGGCTGAAGGAATGAGATCGCAGAAGCAAGTGGCCAGACTGAGTTCCTCTGCAGGGTGGCTGGGCTCTGCCTTCGAGATATGGTGAGGAGCTCAGACATCCGAAGCGAACTCTCGAAGTAGGGTTTCTGCTTCTTTGTTCTGAAAGGAAGAAGCTGAGGTGGTGTGGGCACCTGGTTAGGATGCCGCCTAGGTGATTTCCTTTTAGAGGTTTTCTGGGCACGTCCAACTTGGAGGAGACCCTCAGTTAGAACTTGCTGAAGAGATTTCATATCTCATTCTGCCTAGGAACACCTTGGGATCCCCCAGGAGTAGTTGAAAAGAATTGCTGGGAAGGTAGATGCCTGGAAGGACAACGTTCACCTATTGCCACCATGACCCAACCCTAAATAAGCAGAGGAAAAGGAATGAATAGACTGATGGCATCATTTTCTGTTTATTCATTGTTGTGGCTAATAATGTCATCCAGTCGGAGTCTTTGCTCCCCATGAGCAAATCTCTCATCATTTTATTATCCGAAGACAAACGCATAAAAGATTAAAAAGATATAGGATTATATACAGCGGGGAAAATAAGTATTGAACACGTCAACATTTCTCTCAAAAAACATATTTCTAATCGAGCTATTGACATGAAATTTTCACCAGATGTCGGCATC